CCGTTTTAACGTTGAGATATGAGAATAGCAAAACCGTTTTACGTTGAGATATGAGAACAGACAAAACCGTTTTACGTTGAGATATGAGAATAGACAAAACGTTGAAATATAAGGACTGATAAAGATTCGAAAAATACATTAAAGAAACAATTAGATACAGCAATGCAGAAGAAAAAGTGATTCCAATGGTTGGATATGTTTATCGCTGATAGATGCTAGTACCGGCATGCTTGGACCACCGTTTACATGTCCATTACCGGATGGTGCCGGATATCGATCGATCTTGGTCCGTAACAATGCACCGGTATTTTGTCATACACTGGAAGAGGATAATTGTCCGAAAGGATATGAATGCATACAATCAATTGGACTTAGCACTGCAACAGGAAACGGTGTTTGTTGTCCAAGAAAAGGTAATTTAAAATTAAAAGGTTTTTATTTTCCCTTTAATTTTAAAACTTTTATTAGGATTTATCTAACTTAGAAATATCGTTTTGATAGTTATTTTTAAAAGAAAAATAAAATGGAAAAGTTAATATTTTTTCTCAAATTTGCCAGAAAAAAAACTTTTTTTTTCTTAAAGCATTTTAAAATATAATCCAATGAGAGAATTTTGCAGAGACAGCTTGTCTTCAGCCAGTTTGTCAATCACAAGATGGATGGCTTGTTCGTTGGTATTTTAACGGTGAAACATGTGAATCATTCCGATGGAATCCGGAAGTTGAAACAAGCGCCAATAATTTTGCCACTAAACAACATTGCCTATCATATTGCGCATTGATAAATAATCAATCAATCTGATAAATCATTGTTTCAAAAAAAAACATACATATAAATTATTTAAAATAATTTCTAATTAATCTTTTCTAATGGTAGCTTATAAATATAGTATAAGTAAAAATAAATAAATCGCAAAGAAATCATTTTAGTTAGTAAATGAAGCGACATCAATTCAATAATTCAATTGGAAATTTATATCTTTACTGTAATATTTAAATGCTGAAATTCTAGAAGAATATAAGTATGGTTTATTTACGATTGATTTACTTGTTTTATTTTGTTTATGCTGTATTTACGTTTGTACATTTAAAAAAGAAGTTTGTTAAAAATTTCTTCAAAAAATTGTAAATATTTTTTTTTGAAATATGAGAAATTCAAATATGATAATGTTGCGCTTTTTCTTCTTTATGTTCATCCTTCTTTATTTTTTCAAAACTTCATTTTTTCTGGCAAAATTTTCATGCTTAAATATTCTTTAAAATATTTCTTTTGATGTGAAAAGATGAAGAAAAATGGAAACAACAATGAGGAAATGTTATAAACATAATGAAGAAACATTTTGAAATGGCGAAATAAATTCAATTCAAAAATATTCCAGTATGAGGAATATTTGAATAAGGACTTCGGAAACGTTCCGATATTGGCAATCGTTTTCATGGTGTCAAAGTTCAAAATATTTCAATATTAGATGAAGACTTCCAAAACCTTTCGATATTGGTAATTGTCTTCATGATGTTAAATGTTATCAGATATGTGTTATCAAATAAATATTTTATAGTTTTCTTTTTTTACTTACTACGTACCATATAATTTTTTGAATTTACTTTTTGAGATGTGCTTGGGCGTTGTAAGCGGTAGAAAATTGAAATAATAATGGAATAGAAGTATTATTAATCAAATCTTCTCAAATTTTTCATTTATTATTATCATCAGCATTTAATTTATATGTGATAATAAGCTATTAATCTATTGCTATTATTATTATTATGATTACTACTATTATTACTATCAATCCCTGTCATACGTACTAATTTCTGATAACATAATACAATGGCATAACAAGCAACGTGTTGTTGCCAGGTTGCATTTTCAAAGGAGCTTTAGAATTTGGTAAAGATTGAATGAGACATAATAATTTATTGTTATCGGGAGATGTATATTTTAGAAAAACTTGCGGTCAAATTTATAATTTAATTTATAAATTATATCATATTTTAGGAGACAATTAACATATCCTATAAAAATATGTAAATTTTATGAAAAAGAAATTTATTTTATGTTTGAGAGAGAAGACGACTGAAAAGCTGTTTTGTATTATCAAATAATTGTTATTCGCTTATAATATCCAAATCAGTATATAAATTGTGAGACTTCCCTTGGTTTCTTCATCAATTAGCTTTATTAATCGGCATCACTCAATTGAAATTTGACCGTGCTGTGATATAATTTGTTCAAGATTATCAATTTGGATGATAGAAATAAAAGAATAAAAGATTTTTAATGCACATATTTCGTTTAAAGTAACTTCTAGTTATTTCAAATAAATTTATTTAAAAGTATGATTTCAAAATTAGGTGTTGACATTTTTTTTAAATTAAATTAAATTGGTTGTTACATCATTTCATTATTTAGTTAATTACCGAACAGATAAATTATCAGTTGTCAGTTGACATTTTTGCTATAATTTAGAAAATTATTTGCGGAAGGCTGTTTGAAGTATACCTTTATGAGACTAAATTTTAAATGGTGAACAGTCGAAATATCGCCTTTCGTGCTAGTTCATGTTAACAAGTAAAACTTTTGTTAGAGAATGACTGACTGTCAGAAGATAATCGTACTGATTAGCCGTAATCTTCTTGATTGATTATCAGAAGATAATCCTACTGATTGATCATAATCTCTTGACTGATTATCGGAAGATAATCTTACTGATTAATCATAATTTTTCTGTCTGATTTTTCAAAAAATAATCCCATCGACTTGTTATCAGCATGTTACCATCACATATGCATATATCTTTAAAATGAACAAATAATAATACGGTACATGGTTACTAAAATTTGCCCCAGTTTATAAATCATTCCAATTAATGAACTGAAGTTAAACGGCGCAAGATGATAGTATTATGCCGAAAATGTGAAACGTAAGCAGTTTTCGGAGTGACTTACGGATAATATATCAATATCAAGTGTTAAACTATTATTTTGCTTAGTCTACGCATAGCTTGATCAGAAATCCATAAATATAATTTGATCCGTTCGTAACTTTCGGCACCTGTTAGAGGTCATGACTTCCGCAAAAAACTTCCTAGTACATCTGGAAACGTCTCATTGATTTATTTGAATAATTCTTATGCTCAGTTTATCATAAGCTATACATATCATAAGCTTATCATAAACTTGTCATAAGTTTATCGTAGGCTAACATCAAATTAATAATAATTCACTCCAACAGCGTAAAGGATGTTATGAACTGGAAATGGGAAAACAGAAAGACAGCTCAGAAAAGAAAAAATCAAAAATTCAATCTGAAAAATAAAAATAAATAATCAGAAACTATTTTATGGGGAGATTAAAGATCGTCCCGAAACTCCTAATAACATTAAAACAATAGAGAAATAGTCGGGAAAAAGAGTGTGACATACAAGGAAGTACCACAAAATGCGAATATTAATGAAATAGTATAGCATAAATGAGGTTATCAGAGATTGAGAAGTTTGAAATAGTCGTAAGTCGAAATGGCACTAGAGATTGAGAGTAAAATGTTATATTATAATTTAAGATATGAAAATAGTCCATAAGACAAATAGTTATAACAGTGAGTAACTTCTACCAATGGAAAGCCATAACAACCGCTTGTTTCAATTTCAAGAATGATTTTAAAAGGTTTATGCTTGAATTGCTATTCTCTGTCTTCTCCTGTTCACCTTACCTTTCTCACGTTTTCATGTGTCCCCGCGTCCCCTCATCGGTTTATTGATGACTTTTGCAGCATACAGCGCTGAAAATATGACAAAGATGTGACAGGACAAGTTGTTCTAGCAATGCTCATTTTCTGTTTTTAATTTTTAAAATTTTGAAAGTAAATGTCAGATATTACTGTTGCCGTATTTGCCTGATTCGAATGCATTTATATTTCCCGAAATTGTTAAACGGAAAGTAGTTATGCACTTTTTTGCATGAAAATTATAAAACTGAAATGATTATGCTAGGAGAATCAATAAGAAGTAATGTGCTATAAGGGACTATTGTTCTATATTGTATCTTTCGATGAATGTATTTCTAACGTTTCCCTCATTTATTCTATTTAACTTATTGATTTTTTCTACTAGTTGCTATTGCTATTATGTGTGATACCTAAGCATAAGTAAAGCTAATATATAATTGATTTATTATGGTGTCTAAGCACATTTATTGTGTGAATTGCCAATTATTTTTAACCATATGTGTATGCATCTCATATGTTTACACGTTAATTTCCAATGTCTTCTTTTTTCTTTTATTGTCCGTGTTTGCAAAATGTTTCAATATTAAATGCCAATTTCAAATAGTGAATTATATATTAAAATTCATAATTAACAAAGAAAAGTGTTTCAGGTGTTCCAGGTTATACGTTATTAAGCATTTGTTGAATTCAGGTTTTTCTCTTACATCATTGGTTCTAAATTATTTTCGTACAATTTTAAATGCAAAAAGAATTTCAATTCAGATTAAACAGTTAGTCTCAAAGTCTCTCTTTCTTTTCGTATTTGTACTTATCGAAATGTTCGGAAGTTACGGTACTGGAAATGGCAATGGCAATAAACTGAATTTACGGACTGAAATCCTGGAAGGACTATTAGCATCGATGGGTGAAGGGAAAAATGCAAAAGTGAATTTACTTAAACAAACGATTATGCGGAATAAAACGGATATGGCAGGTGATGCTTTCCGTTCGCTCGATTTAATGCGACAGGTATGTTTCTTCATGGATAGAGGATTAAAGTGCAATATTTAGGTTTAATTTGTTTTAATTATTCATGTGATTTCGAGGTGCTAACTCAAGGTTATTGCTTCTGAATTAGAAATCTGGGAAGAAAAAAAGGGATGGTATGATTTATTGGATTGGAAATTTAGTGCTTACTTTTCAATATTCACACTTTTCAAGTAGGAATCATAGATGAAATATTTCATAAAATGTATTGCATGGTATGGCAGCAGAAAATTTTATTTGCATTCGGTAGGTTTTTCAATCCGAAATGACCGATGAATTTCGACAGATTATTGAACGACATTTAAGAACAACTTTTTCTCCAGCACTGGAAAATCTTCAAAGAAATGGATTGGTCTGTCTTAATTTTATTATTATGAATTTTATTATGAATTTTCCTCATTTGATCTAACAAATTATTACTTATGGTTAAAGGATTTGAAAAGCGCTACCATCAAATTTAAGAGATAAGCAGCAAGATATGACTGCATTTTTTGCTGTGCAATAGTTGCAGCAAAGATGCGTTAAGTAATCAGATGGTCCCGATGACACTGCTCTATTTTTCATGTTCTGTTATCTCTTAAATTTGATGACAACGTTTTTCAAAAAATGAAAAACAATTCTGATGCATGTATTTTTTACTTACATGTGTTCATTGTTGTAATTGGCAAAACAATATATTTCTATTTTGCACAAATATTCATTTGATCATCTATCTCTTTTCATTTTATATTCAGGAAGTAACAGAAGATGATATCAAATGCTTATGTTGTAGCATTCTTGAAGCAGCTAAAAAACCATTTCTTTGTGAGAAACAAGTGGAAGGTTTTTCAGAAAGGGGATTAGAATCTCCAAAGTAAGTTATTTCCCATTCACTGTCAATTAATTAAGAGATAAAGGTTTTAGCACATTATTCGAAACTTGAACTCAAAGAGAAATCGCATGCTACTACGTTTTATGTTCTTGTTATAGGTCATTCAGCATTATTTTTTCATTTTTTATCAAAGAGCTTTCCAAAAAGTAAAACATCAAGTTTTCTCAGGTATTCAAATCAATTATTAGGAAGAAAGTCGGACCATACGGATAAAGTTCTGTAAATATACATAGTATCGGATTAGTGCTGTATTGTTATGTCTTTAAAAAAAATCTTCTGTTAACACTTAATATATACGTGGAAGGAAACGTGGTCGTCCTCCTAAAGTTAAACTTTACTAGTTTTTACCAAATGTTTTTTTCTTGATCTTAATATTTGCTTTAGTTTTCCCGTTAGTACTGAATCAGACTTGGATAGCGAAACTAGTGTTGTCAATTTTGTCGTACATCAACGTCCGACAACAATTCCTCCACGTGGAAGGAAACGTGGTCGTCCTCCTAAAGTTAGACTTTGTTAATTTATATGAAATGTTTTTTCTTGATTGCTTCTTATTTTACAATGGGATTATGATATATATTTATATGCTTGGCATATATTTTAACTTTTCAGACAGATAATCGTGGTAGAAATACTCCGTCATATGTCCATATCAGTGAAATGGCTACTGAATTAGATTTGGTCAAGGTATTTCTTTTATTTTTATTGTTTCTTGTTGAACGAGTAATAATAGAATATATTGCTTTGTGCAATAAGGCTGTATTTATGGATGCAGAAGCTAATATTCCAAATACAGTCCCAGAATTTGCAACATAAAAATATGCATTGGCGTGATAATGTGTTTTGTGACAACCGAAATTTTCACATTTCATTTTTATAGTGGAATCCGGATCGTGTTTGTTCATCATCACAGTTTATTCTTATATCGAAAGTTTCTCGATTGCTGATGTTCCACAATTATCATGAATTACTCATGAGATATCCAACCATTTTCCGGGTAATTCGGATTTTGCTGAGTTAATTTTAGAAAAATGTAAAAATTTAAGAATTTGCCGAATTAATTTTAGAAATATTAATTTTAGAAATGCCCTCATAAAATCGGAAAAGTTAGGTTTGAAACTTTATAATGCAGTGCTACCCCTTATATTTTCCTCGTTTTAGCTGCTTCATTTCCTTTATCAGAAATAAGAGAATAAGGAAAATCGGTAAAATTGGAATAAAACAGACAGGTTACGTACAACAAATTTTTGTGATGTATCTAATTTCATCTATCATTTCATTTATTTCTTTATTCAAAAGAAAGAAGAATAATTTGATTTTCATGTTCTTCCATACTGATATATTTTTAACAGCTATTCTAAAAGTAAACAAGTAGTGACTTTACATGAATTGTATTATCCAGTAATGGCCATAAACAAAATAATCTATTCCCACACAGGTGGAAGATATATGGAAGATTATTGGATTAATTAAAAGTGCAATACTTTTTGTTCAAAATAAACCTCATTTGTGGATGAAATCCATCTCGTTTTACTTTATTTCATGTTATTCTCACATGATCAGCTTTACAAAAATTACAGTACAATAGTGATGAAATGGATCGGAAGTGGCTTATCAAAAATCGGCTCACAACTCGATCAACTGGGAAAATTCACTTGTTGTTGCTAAATGATGCTGCTGAAATTGTTAGCGCAGAAGGGCTTTCGTTAGTTTATGTTTTCTTCTATGTTTTCTTTTTTTTGCTTCGGGTTTCTTTCTTGATTTTGTTTATCCTTCTTAATTTTCTGAAAATTATTCATTCTAACCTACCTTAATAAGCATTTTATGGTTATAAGAAAAAGTAAAATATAATAGATAGAAATGACATTAACAGACACTACTCACATTTTTGGACAAAAAATGATTGCAATGCATTACCGTCTGAATTTCATGTGGGAAGAACTTTAGCTTCTTTCTTTCGAGTATTTTCGAAATATTTCCAAGTAATTTCACCAATTCATTCTCAAAAGAGAACCGAGAGAAACTTTTTAAAGGTCAAGCCAGCAACTTTGTGTGCATGCGTGCTATTGATAATAATGAAATTCAGTTTCGTTTTAATTTCGTTCAATTTGAATTCTTACAGTTTTTTTCAGCTTACTTCATTCTATTATTTTTGTTCATATAATGCCAGTTTACTTCCTAGGAAAGGGAATGTTATTAGAAGCACATTACTACATTTTTGGTTTCTTATCTCAGTAGTGGGACTGTTTTGCAATTCAAAAAAGGGGTATACGAGATCGATTTGATGCAAATAAATGTTGAACGCCACTTGAAGGATCTTTTTTAGCATCAAAATTTCATAGGGAAAATCAATTTTGAGATGATCGCATCTATCAGTCACTTCCATTTTCATATGATGCAGCAATGAGTGCAGGACTAAAATAAATTAGCCAAATAACTGAAAATTTTCAATAACATTTAATTTTTATCGATACTTTTTTTTAGATATGTAGTTGACGTTCTGAAATGCTTCGCATTTTGCGTACCACCATCAATGATTTTGAAAATGAAGCAGGAAATGCGAAAAGTTTTTGATACGTCAAGAAGCGGTTGAAATACATCTTGCTAAAAATGCAGGTTCATAAGAGTGCCTTGCGTTTATGGTGCCTTCATGCATCTTTGGATTACGCAATACAGGTTTTGTTTATAGTAGCATTTTATATTCTAAATAGGTTTTCCTTGTGATTCAATTTACTAATTTTAATTTCGATTTTGAAACATATGAACTTTTCTAGTCATTTCTTCAATTTTAAGATTCAATTTAATGTTTTATATGAAGATATATTTAGAAAATTATTTCGATTTTTCATATTTCACTTTTTCTTTGATTAGCTGGTGCGTTTTTTATTTCCTTTTGTCCTAGTAGTTGAGTAACACCACATCATATTTTGTCAAAATGATAAGAAGTGGAAGGAAAGTTTGAACTCGGGATTAGAAAAGTTTTTAATAGAGCATAAAGCTAGTGATAAGTTTTTGTAAGAACTAGTAGAACTAATAGTTCTTCACAGTCGAACTAATAGTTCTTAACATATTTCTTAACACTAATAGCTCTTAACAGTCTTAATTCATCGAAACAAACTTTTTTATTTCACTTCATTTACAATCAAGATTATATCATCTGCAACTATGTGATGATTGCTTAGCCATTTGCCATGTACCTACTCTTTCTGATAAGGTTGTTTTCCCTTTTATCATTCAACTGATACATTTTAATCTTTCAACTAATCAGACTTTTCCTATTATTATTTCCTTCAGCTTCGTGATTTTTTATTATTTTTCAGTGCGTTATTTTAAAAATGCGATACATTTTCTGATAAGGTTATTATTTTGTGGTCATTGTAATATACATTTATCCGGTAATATTTATAATTAATAAAAATACTATTTCAGTCATTATTATTTATCTTCATGTTCTAAATGGAAGGATGAAAAGTTATCGGAAATCATCCAAAAACAGAAATAAAATTTGGTATAGAAATTTGAATGAAAGCGGAAAATTTTTTTCCGTTTGTATATTTCAGATTCAAGTTTTCCTTTTCCTATATCATTTTAAAATGGTTATTCATGGCAAAAGTAAGTCAGGTGTTAAGTTGAGCGGTTTATTTGCTGTTATAAAAAGATAAGAATTGATCGGTTTTCTGTTTTTGTTACGTTAAATGCAAAGAAATTCTGTATTTGTTTCCCCACAAATTAATTGATGCCTCAGCTTAGTGCCTTTGGAAAAAAACAAAACTGATATCTCTGAAATATTGTTTCATATTCGTATTAAATAATCAGAACTGTTATAGAGTTCATTAAACAACAAGGCTTATTAAGCATTAGGAAATTTCAAGAATTTTAGGGTATATTTCATCGAAATCTGACTTCTAAAATTTGGAATTTCTGTTAAAACATTTACTAAACCGGTTTACTATTTTTTACACTTGAATGGGTCATATCCAGATCGATAAGTATTATCATGGTTTTTTGATGGTACAGGATATTCAACCACTACTAAAAAATGACGGTGATTTTCTGATACGGAAAACTGAATGGAAAGGTTCCACACTTGTTTGAATATCATTAAGGATGGCGAATTTATTCCATTCTTCTATATCCTTCTTCTCTGGAATTTAATTCTCATCATTTTCGTCCTTGACTTTGTTAATGTTACTGAGGTCTAATTGAAATAATATTTCAGAAGTTTAAATTTGACAAATTTCGAAATATTAATTCAACACTTTTAGATATTATAACTTTATCACTTGATGTATGTACGAATAAAAGAATAAAACATTTCATTATTAATCAAAATGCAAATGGTGAAATTTATATTGAACAGAATAAGGTTCGTACTTTTTGAAATATATTAAAACGATAGCTGAATGGATGGTTTTAATTATTCTGCTGAAATGCTGGTGTGCTGAGAATGTCACACTCAATTAATATTTACATTTCTGTGTTATACAAAATATGTTGAACAAATTTTTGGAATTAATATTTGAAACTAAACAATGAATTTTCAAGATCGCTTTTCAGAAACAGTGAATTTTCAAGATTTTCAAGAAACTAAATAGTGAATTTTCAAGATCGCTCAGAAAATATTCTTTCTTTCAAGAAGTTATCAAAATTATTTTAATATTTGAAACATTTTCCGATTGATTTTCTCCATAACTTTTCACCGATCAACTTTGATACCAAAATTATCTTGTGATTAGCGAAAATTTCCGGCAAATGTCTTTCTACTTAACAATTTTGATATATATGATTTCGATATATGTTGATATTGATGATGATGATCGTTTTCCGTCTCATCAAGCATATACCGGAATTTGGCGGAAATTTCCTCATTTCCTTTTGTTTCCCTATAAGGGAAAAAAAAATGTCACAAAAATTTATTTTATCAAAGCTTGCGCGTATTCTGAAAGGAGTGTTGTCAAAGAGCTGTTTTCCGGTCAAATAGATGGATTCAGAAAGATTCGGGATGGATGGATTTTGAGCAGAATATGGCTATGCAAATAATCAAAACTGATGAATTCTATTCATGGATTTGTATAAAATTTTTAGAAAAAATCAATTGCTGAATTGATCGGATGGCATTTGTTAACAAAAACACCGATAACAAGAAGTAGCCAAGCAGTTTTAAAAAAGGCATTGCAAGGCCTAATTGGCTTATAAAAAAGGGACAAGTGAAAATGGTCAAAAAACTTGGCGAAGGAGCATTTGGCGAGGTTATGAAATTATTAATTTATAAAAAACATTAATCATAACAACTAAATGTTTATAATCTATGTTAGGCTAATTAGTTATTAATGCAAAAGGTAGAGTTTTTAGTTGATTTTAGTGACATTAGCTTTTATGATTAAATCCTTTATTTCTACTTAATCTATAAAATACCATTCTTATTCAGTCTTTTTTTAAAGCAATGATTTGTTCAATAATATGCAGCAGTTTTTTTTTCCGCTATTAATTGTTCGATTAAAATATTTGTTAGAATTGCTTTATCGTTCCTGAATTATTTCTTGAAAAATAACTAACAATTCTTCCTAAATTATTTAAAAAAACAAAAACTTATTTCATAGAAATAATTCTTTTCAAAAAATTCCCGTCACACACGTAACTTTTGTATTTTCTATTTCGTTTTTTTCCTGCTAAAATTTAGTTCCTTTTAGGTTTATTTCGGTGAATACAAAGATTCAAATGACCACGTGCATTTAACGGCCATAAAAACAATGCATGATAAGGCTTCACGTACAGCACGTTTCAGCTTCCTTAGGGAAGCTCGGATTATGCGTAAATTTGATCATCCAAATATTGTGCGCATTTTTGGTGTTGTTGCTGATGAATTGCCGTTGCTTATATTAATGGAACTTTGTGAAGGTTTGTTGACTCAGCAATTAATCCACCCAATTATATTTAAAATAATTTAATTATGATGTGTGATGGGATCTGAAAGAAAAAACAAATTAAAATTGAGTGAGTTTAATAGTTTTTTAGTTTAATAGTTTTAAATTAAAATCACGAATTTAGTTTAATTTAAATTATTATGATTGACATGGAATGACTGTAAGCTGGTTGGTATAAAAATAAAAATAATAAAATAAAAATAAATAGTTTCATCATTTATTATTCATTTAAAATCAAATTGGTATATTGATTAATTGCTCATTAATTTGCAAATTAGAGGCGTTGTCATATTATTAGTATGTCAATTAGGAATGTAAAACTGTTACAAGCCTATTAGTAACTATAGTATCATGTTATGTTTTTTGAAGGAACAATTCCCGGTATTTCTTCATGCAGAGGATACTGCAAAATTCCTTTTTATTTAATATGGATCAATATTTTGTATTATTAATAACAACAACAAAAATGATGAAATGAATTGGGTAATTCAGGTGGATCAACATTATCATTTCTACGAAAGAATCGTGGAATGATCGTACCAGGATTAAAATTACGATTTATAACAGAAAGTGCTTCAGGGTTAAAATATCTTGAGCAAAACAACTGTATTCACAGGTTTTTTCTTTTTCTTTTCTTTTTTTTTTGCAAATAAAAATACAAATACTTTATTGTCTTAATTAATTCCTCCAATGTTATTAATAATGAAGGAACTTAATAAAAGGGGACTTAATGAAGGGGAAAAGTGCTCAGTTTATTCTTAAGTTAGATAATTAATTCATATATTGCTATTAGCTAATTATATCTATCAAAATGAATTGAAGAGTTTTTTGTTTTTCCAGGGATATAGCAGCACGAAATTGTTTATTAACACGAGATTTTCATATTAAATTGAGTGATTTTGGTATGTCTGATGAAAAAACGCTAATTCAAGATAAAAGCCTTGACAAAGTGCGACAAATTTTCTTTTTTCCGTTCCTCAAAAATTTTTTTGATACTATTATTAATTTCAAATATTACCCATTTTGTTTGTTATTAAAGGAAAAAAAATTTTGAAAATTTTTTTCTAACTTTTAAAAAACGTTTGAAAAACTTTTGTATTACAAAATTAATCATATGAACTTCACTAATTAGTGATCTTACTTAGACATCGTGACTAATTGCGAAAATTTTATAAGTTTAATTGGGATTTAATAATTAAATGGTAGTGATAAAATTGATTACGATAGCAATTATATCTTGCAGTGATTGTTTGAATGTTTGTGGCATAGTATTAAAAGAATGGATTTAATGAAAAAATATGTTTTAAATTATTTTTGAAGTTGTTCGAAAGTTTAAAATTGATGAGAACACATAAATGTATCCATAAACTTTTGCAATAAGTTTATGCTTTTGTCAAATTTTTCGGAAAACTTTCACTGATTCGCCTAAATGATTACAGGTACCAATCAAATGGCTTGCACCGGAAACAATGCAAAATCGAATTTATTCAACCAAAACCGATGTGTGGTCTTATGGTATAATGGTAGGTATTGTTGATACGATTGCTTTCACCTATCAATTAATTCTTTCTAGTAGTAAATCAGTAATTAATTAGTAATTTAATAATGATCAGTATTCTTAACGAACAATAGCATATAAATATAATGAAGCGTGTTTCAATGCTTTTAAAATACTTCACTGAGCAAATGGAATGACTGATGATTCTTTTAAAATGAAATTTTTTGAAATCCCAATTAACAGGGTGAAATTAGAGTTAAAGTCAAACTGTAACTACTATTGTTTAATACTTGTAGGTTTGTTTAATTTGCATAACTTTGCAGTAGATCTGCAAGAAGTTTCGAAGTTGAAAACCCCAAAGTATTGAGTTATAGTCGAATTTCATTTCCTTTGAGACAGAAATAAAAAGAAGTGAAGGTGGAGGTAGTGAAATAATGGAAAAAATTTTGTTAGCACAAATTTAAATTCGAGGTAAATAATTGTGAAACAGAAAAGAATCCAGATAATAAAAATAATTTGGTGGCAAAAAAAATGTAAGTAGTAAAAGGTACTGAAATGAATCTAGGTAATAAAAGGAATTTAGGTAGTAAAAGAATCTAGGTAGCAAAAAAAATCTAATTGGTAAAAGGAATAAAAAGAATCTGGATAGTAAAAAGAATCTAGGTAGTGAAAAGAATCTAGGTGGTAAAAAGAATCTAGGAGTAGAACAAGTAAAAAGAATCTAAGTAGTGAAAAAATGAAACTTCAATTTCGATGGATTTTGCAAGCTATAAATTCACTTTCGCCTAAATAAGTTCAATTTACATGTTTGGGAAGTGTATTCGGAAGGTTACGAACCATATCCATCGTTATCAAATATACAAACTAGAGCTAAAATTATCGTTCAAAATTATCGTATGGATATGCCTAAGGTATCTTACCATTCGCAGATTTCAAACTTTTAATTTATTCAGTAATCAACTGAGCTTGTTAATTGCGCAATAATTGAGTGTAATACCTTGATGTAATCTAATATTGAATTAAACTGTTGAATTTTGCATTAAGTACTTCACTTGATTTCATCTTTAACTTCTTCGATTTTGATTCTTTTTTTTATTCAGGAAAAATAAATTACAAAAATCGAAATATCACTTATTGTAATTTAATTGTTTATCCATTGTTTTGATTTCTTTACTAAAATTCGAAAATTTGGCAATTTTGTTTAGAATAATATGATATAGTAACACTTTTGAAAATTGTTAATGCAAATATGGAAATTTTACTTTATTAACTAACCAAATAAGACTTTACCTACCAAATAAACAAATAAAATTTCACTTACCGATTATCCAAACGATATTTTATTCCTTGAGTTTTGTTTTACTCTGAGATTTCCAGGGTACACCACCAGAAATTGCATCGCTTGTTAGCAAATGTTGGGCTAAAAATCCTGAAAATCGGCCATCGTTTGCAAAAATTCATGATGAATTGAAAGGATTATCAATTGATATCACTGAAGCTACCGTATCACAAAGTGGTGAAGGAGATTGAAAATATGCAAATATCTTTTGCAAAAGTTAACCAAACAAACAAATTCCTATTGCTATTGCTATCATTTGCATTTGAAAAAGGCAAAAAACGGAAAAAAAAATCTTGCTATACTGTTGTTACTATGTAAATATCGATTAACAACTTAAAATAAACTTGAATTCTAGAAAGGAAAAGAAAAAAATCTTCGTATTGTTAATAAAATATTTATCAAACAAACAATTGTCCAAAGAAAGGTTTTGTTATCGTTAGCAAATCTGAATAATTTTGTAATTTTTTCCTTTGGTATTGTTAGAAATTAATATTTAAGACTGAATTAATTGAATATTCTGGTTCGTTAATATGCATTTTTCTAAGTTCGATCCAAATTCTTTGAACTTAAAGCAACAATTTACAATACATATGCCTGCCTTATTCATAATTCAAATATTATTTACGGAGTCATACAATTTTGAAATTTAAACAAATTAGGAATTTCATTCAGTACGATATTACTCCATACTTAATAAAATTTTATTTGAAGCATTAATAGATTTTGTGCAAAAAGCAAAGCATCTAATTCAGTCGTTTAGGTATAACGAAGGAAGTAAACAAATAATGAATAGAGTTTAAATGAGTGAATATTTAAGTAAACATAGATATGACATGACAATAAAGGGATAAAGAAATAAACGATTAAGTAAATACATAAATACTTTTATACATCCATACTGAAAAATTTCTTCTTTATTTCACAATTACAATGATTTTACCATTTTAGATGTATTATTTTAATTACTTATATGCAAAAAATATATTGGATTGATGGAAAAGTAATTGCCATTTTTCGATTATTAAAATTTGATTTTTCATAGATTAAACATATCATTTTAGTGCCTATTTCTTAACTAGTTTTTTAATTTATTGCTTTTTGTATATTTTGAACTTATTTGGGACTGGGAAAATGATGTCG